GATTCGTCCAATCGTAGATGTTTCATATACTAGAATTTACTTCTCCCCGAAGGGACCAAAAGTTTTGTTTTTTGGCTTCCCTTCCTCATCATACGATGAAATACACAGTGTATTTGAATCTAGTGCTTTTTAGTCGATGCAAAGAAACAAATGGAACAAATATTCAAGACTCTGATAGCTTTAACTGCAATTGATAACTAAAAGGCACAGTTTTAATTTTGACGATTATTTCTAGCTCCTGTAACGTTTGAGATCTCCACTGCTACGGAACACAACGGAGCCCAGGCGACCACCCTGTTCCAGATCTCCAACACCAGCTCGGGAGCCATCACGGTAAGCAGTCTCGAAACGGTCTAGCTAAAATTAATTCAATGAACAGTTCAGCTACTCTTCCACCGGTCATGGCTATATATATAGTATTTTCAGGAACATTTTACCGGAAAAATTCCCCAAGCTCTTTGAACAGACTGCGACGCTTTTCAGTAATGTACAAGCCGGGTGAGCATCAACAGCCAAGATGCTTAACTCACGACTTCTGCGTCTAGAGGCGGGATCACTGCTCACTGAACTGTGCACATTACACAAAAACGTCAAGTAAATCCCCCGCCAATTTCTCGGCAGGTTCTCTTCCCGCCTGACCGTGAAACAGACGACGCTATTCAGTTTGTGGTGATCGCCCGCAGTGCCGGTCCGCCAGCTGTGTCAGCCGAGGCAACCATCTTCGTGGACGTCACGGACGTGAATGACAACGCTCCTGTCTTCGTCAACAGCTTTTACAGGTAGCATAACGTGGGGTCGTGTGGCGTACCGGCAGTGCTTGACTCGGAATCTAGAGGTCCCAGGTTCGAGTCCTGACATGCCGCCGATCTTGTGCCCTTGGGAAAGGCGCTTAACACGACTTTCACCACTTATAAGTGCAAATGAGTATTGTCTGTCCTGTATTTGTTTCTATGAGTGGGGTACTCAAGCCACTCAAGGCATTTCAATCTATCGCAGCAGTAAATGGTCAGAACGTAATCATGCAGCTTTTATCATTCTTTCTGTTGTTTGTATCTATACATGAGCTTTGGTAACATTTTTGTGATGTCATTTATCATAAGAACTATACAGTCATGTATCCATTGGCTGCGTTAAAACTGAAGATGAAAACTACAGTACTTTATTTCCCTAGCGGGGAGTGCGGCACAACGAGTGACTTCGGCCAGGCCATCGTGACGATCTCGGCTACAGACGCGGACGAGGGGACCAGCGGGACCGTGACGTACGGAGAGTCCGCAGAGTACCCTGAACTGTTCGAGCTGGACACCTCAACAGGTAAAATGATAAAACACAAAAAACAACATTTTTGACACAAACAAGAAAGCCAAATGGCAGCAATTGGACAACATTCATTTCCTACTAGACTCGACCAGAATTTCTACTTCACTTCGGTTCATCTGGCTGGTCATTGTCCAGACATTGGCAAAACAAGAAACCCATAACTTCTTTCTGCTTGATTTAATAACCTCTTTGATAACCGTTTCACCAGTTTCATCATATGCCTAGTCACCGACCAGAGAAGCTACACCACAGACCACTGGCAAAACGACAAACCAGGCAACTTCCGGCTGTTCATAAACCATACTTAATAGAAATCCTATTCATTTAGTCAGTTAAGATTTGCTCTAACTGAACGTGGAACTAAGATATTGGGTCTTTGTCTTTTACCTTGCTTACGTTTTGGTGTCAATCTGACACCTTCCTCAGAGCTTCTGACTGGACTTCTGCTTTCTCTCAATGTTACACTAGGCAACATCCGGCTGGTGATCGACCAGACGTTGTCCACCGGCACGGCCTATCTCATGACAATGACAGGAACAGACGGCGGTTCTCCTGCCCTGTCCTCTCAGACCCAGGTCCGGATAGACGCCTACACCCCCTCCACAACCCTGGTGGACATCGAGCTCGCCATGACCGAGGACGAGTTCTGGACCAAGAAGGACGCTTTCTTAGCTGAGGTAGGCTGGTTTACTAATATCTCTCTCCGTCTCCCCATTCTCTCTCTCGTTGTATCTGTCATGTGTGTACGTGTGAGTTTGTGTGTATAGATATATACTATTAGATAATATGATATATACTATTAGACAGAGAGAGGGAGGGAGAGAAAGAGCGACAGAGAGAGAGAGAGGGAGAGAGAAATAGCTAGTTCAAACAGCAAGCATTGAGTACCTCACCCCAACGACAGAAACAGATACACATTAATGAGGCCAGGTTGTCTCTCAATAATATTACTCGCTTTACGCCAAAGCCAACATATTCAGACTGTATTGGCAGGTTGACTGGGATAAAAATTGATTGATTGACAAATTTTGTATTTTCCTCCGCCAGGTGACGACCATCCTGCGGACCCAGTACGCCACCGCTCGGGCCGGGCTTGCTTACATCACCCGGAAGGACGTGTCTGTTATTACTACCACCAGGAGGAGGCTGCTCACCACGCAAGGGTAGGTGTTCACTTCGTTTTCACTCTAGCAGACCCCTAGCGAGTGACCATTCTTCAGAAATTGCCTGCTTAGCATAAGTGGTGTAAATGCATGGCATTGTAAGTACCCAAGACCGCCATTTCATTGATCTTTAATCCAACAAACGGACTGCTAAAAGAGTTGGGAAACGATACAGAATGTCAACAGATAGCCATACAAAGAGCTTCGACTCTTTTCTCTCATCTTTTCTACGAGTAGTCTAACACAGAAGATTTCAACCATTTTTGTTTGCACGCGCAATCTTGTTCATTTTCTAGATCTGTTCTTCTTAAACGTATCTCTTCGGCACTTATCCACCCCACTAAGCTGCTTACTCATTGTGTGAAACATTATTGTCATTTGAAATAATCATCGTTTTCCCACCCCCAGTGAGGTGGTTGCCCGTGTGTACGGCGTGAGGAACGACAACGCGGACACCGCCGCCGGCATCAACAACGTCAAGGAGTTCTTCACAGACGCCGAGATGCTCAGCACCATACAAGGTCAGTAAGTGTAGCAGTGGAACTGTATATAGACACGGCTAGGGACCGTGCTACCTTCCTGGAGCTACCGTACGGATAAGGGGCCAGCTTCTGGCCTAAGTAACTAAGGCAGGTAGCAGTAGCTAGCAGCAGGGAAAATGACATTGTTTATATTTATTTATTTGCCTCATATGCCTCACAGGCTCGTGGCCAATATACGTGAAGAAATACGCCAAATACTCGTACCTAAAACACATACACAAAACTGCCTACAACGTACGTGTATATCCTACCTAATAAAGTATAAAGTAATGGCATAAATGCAGAGAAGCAGCAAGCAGTTAGGATAAGTAAGTAAGTGAGTTGATAATAATGTCGTCAGAACTCAAACAGTTATCAAAATTGCTGGGTTATAAATGTTAAAAAAAACACACTACCGAATGTAAATCGTTTCGCAACCCTGAATTTTATTGGGAAGAAAAGTGATGGGTAGACAATGGAAAGACTCAAAACCTAACCGCACAACCCTTTGCGTTTTGCCCCCCTCCCCAGGTTCCGGGCTGACCATCTCCGACTCCATCACGGTTCAGGATTACGATGACGGCACCACCACCACCACCTGGATCCAGTACCCGGCATCCATCGCGCTGGTCGTGCTCAGCTGCGTCTTCTTCGTGCTGCTGGTGGCGCTCGCCGTCGCCCTGGTGCTCTGGTGCAGGAGAAAGAGGAACAAGGGGTGTGTTGTGTTTGTTTGTTTGTTTGTTTGTGTGTGTGTGCGCGTGTGTATGTGTATGTGTGTCATTCGCTGTCTGTCTCCCCCTGGCAATGTTTCTGTCTCATTTTCCTTGCCCTTTGTGTCTCTCCTTGTCGTTTTGTCTGTCTCTGTTTCTCTGTATCTGTTTGCTCCTGATCTCGTATCTCTCTATCTTGTCTCCACATCTCTCTCTCTCTCTCTCTGTGCTGTTTTACGGTTACGACATTGACCAATACATATAGTTTCTCAAGTTTGAGTAATGAAGGTGTGTTTCTCTCTGCAGGAAAATCTCCAAGAAAGACAGCGTAAAGGAGAAGCCTGAGAAACAGCAGAGGTGGTCTTCACCACGTAAGTACTTTACCTTTTAATGATTTATTTTTAATTTCGAAGTATTCAGTATACCTTTCAAAGACCAATGTGACACTGTCTATCTTCTAGATGTTGTTGGTTTTGCAATGTCAGTGTTTTCTAATGCCGTGTTTCTCAATTTTGCTTCTGTAGTGATCACAGCAGTCCCGGCTAACAATGCTACAAAGGTACGTACTATGACGGTCATTTGATTTATTTTTCAGGACAGATTATTTCATTCTGTATTGCTGTAGTAATACGATACGAATAACCACTAGGTCCCAACTATATCCACGTTAAAAAAATGCGTAAATGTTTCGCTAAAGAAAAGGATACTTCAGTTGTAATATGTTGTTTTCCAGCAGCCGCCGCCGAAGAGGAAGGCTGATGTCGTGTATATCGACAGGACAGAGTTTGACGGGGAAGCTGTAGACGAGAGTACGTACTGTGTTCTCACTATCTTAATGATGGCAACACGATGAAAAATATCCCACAGATACCTTTTATATCATCTATCAATTGTATTTGATCTCAGCTCACCGTCTGTAGGCCTCTTTATTTATTACCTATACTTTCACAGTCGATAGGCTCAACAAGCTTCTTTGAAACACTAGTAAACTGTGTGCTGAGCCACATTGTAGCTGTGTTGCTGGTCAACAACTACAATAAAGACACAGATACAGGTACAAACATTCGTTGTCTCTTCCAGAGACAGGCAGAGAGTACTACTACAACACGAAGACGGGCCAGCGGAAGTGGAAGGACGGCGGGCTGGGGAACTCCACGGCGGTGGTCCTGGCAGCAGGCAGGTTCAAAGCGCCACGCAGTACGAGCAGTAAGTATGCGTAAAACTCCAAAAAGCAGTTACTCAAGCAACTGGATATGATTTTGGTAACGGTCAGACGTTTCAGCTAGTATCCACTACCTTTCGTCAGTGACTGTGAGACCAGAGGAGAAATGCACTGTCACAGACACTGACGAAAGCTAGTGGATGCTAGTTGAAATGTCTGACCGTTTCCAAAATCATATCCAGTTGCTTGAGTAACTGCTTTTTGGCGTATCTTATTACCTGGATGTCTAACCTTCATCGGCGTATGCTTAAAACTACTTTGGAGGCGTCTTAACACTGTACAACAATGTACAAATAAGGGATGTTGCCTTCAAGTATGTAAATACTAAAACTGTCAGTCTTTTCCCCTTGTCTGCCTTTGTCTATTCTATGTCTGTCTGTCTGTCTGTCTGTCTCTTTCTCTCTCTTTGATCCATATGGGTGAAAAATACATGTAGCTGACTGTTAGTACTAGTATATATAATACGTTATTTACGTTATGTATTAACATATCTTTCTATTCTCTAATTTCAGACAAGCCGGTCAACTCAACCAAGGTAAGCAATTTAAGCTGGTTGGTCTCACTTCTCAGGTTTGCTTTGCTGAATTCCCCTTCATTCCACAGTAAAAATAGTCACTGTGTTAATTTTGTTATCGTGTATAGGTTGTACGTCTGATTCATCAATTTAAGTGTTCTTAGCGATATTAGTCTTAGAGAAATGTCATGTTCCGTTCCAGTCGAACCGTGGTGACGGCGATGTGGAAACCATCGCGCTGGATGGAGCCACGTTTGATGGGCAGGCGAGAGACCCAGGTATGGTAGCGTCTTCTCTTCTTCTTTTAGACGTCATCAAATTTTATGTTAAACCTGGGCCGCGATAACGTTTGATACGGGTGTTCCAGCCTTTGTCATAACTAGTGGTATCGCATGGGTTTGTAATGGTTATCACACGGGCTTCCAAATGTGCCGTGATTGGATGATTCGAGCGCGTTTTCGCTTGCACTTTGAATTTCGAAAATTCAAATACCGGATTCGGATGTTGCATGGAAAGTTCGGGTGTTACGAAATACACCGTGTAGTATTCTATATGTACTGGGAAAATGATTTTACGAATAGATGATGAGGATAGAACGCATGGGTCTGTAACTGTTGCTTTTGCATTATTTTACAGACACCGGCAGAGGCTACTACTTCAACTCTCGCACAGGCGAACGGAAGTGGAAGGACTCACTGGATGGTCTGTGACGACTTCTCAACAATGGACTCCACTAAAGACGGCCTATATTTTTTTAAACAGACTGTATGTGGTGGGACTGTTGGTATCTACTGTTATTTAGGTGTCTAGACTATAAGTCCGTTTTTTTACCTCTATTTAATTTGTTCTACTTCTTGTATCTGCGTTTACAAGGTCTTGTTCCGAAATGTCTTTTTATGTATCCAGGGAACCTGAAAAAAAAGGAGTGTGATACTGATGATATAGATAAGAATAGATTAATGGGATAAGAACACAATTGATACCAAGATGGTCATTTTATCTTCAAGTTTAGCAGCTAGCCAAGTCATGACCTCGGCAGTAACTTTATGGCCACCAGATACGACTCAAGAAGAGCACATGAATTTCTTATCTTTAGTTAAGTTTGATAAAGTATACGATTTCTATCTTTGAACTTGGACCGTAAAAATAAGATTGAGACAAATACATGACGAGCGTCGCATTCGACGTGATAATCAATTTATTGTGTACAAAAAAGAGTTTTCATGGTTGATCAGGAACCTTTCTCTATCATGTCACTTCAGGGTTGCGTTTAACAGTACTTTTCAAACGGCACCAATATGGGCTTAACGGTCACTTATTGTGGAAAATAAAGGAGTTTGTATTATGACCGTATTTGGTATAAGTTTTAACGTTGGTGTTATTACTTGCTTACTTACCTGCTCAATGCTATCAGTGACATCGACACGCGTTTATTATGTTGTCTATGACAGATCTATATTTTCTTTGAGACAACAAAGGCTTTATATTTAATGTGTTTTTATGCAGAAATGTACAATCCAGCTCTGGCGTGCACTTTTAATGAATTGTGCAAATTGTGATTTCACATAAACCACTCATAGAAATGCAAGGCATTGTGGATTTGATGGTTGTACACACTGAGTTTACTATATTGTCTGTCTAATTTCGTTATCAACTGTTACAAAGATGTACGAAGATGTTACATTGTCGCTGTCTATGTGAAAAATACATGTTTTTTAAAGAAATAAAATCTTTTTTCTTAAGTGGTTGGGTGTGATATTAAAAATAAGTGCATAATATCATAAAGCCACAGAAATATAATATCATGGATAGAGGTGCAAACATCTAGTTTGTTTTGCAATATAATACTTTACGATTCTAGCCCTGGGTGCCCTGGTCATGAGTTAGTTGTGAAACACTCTCCACCCATCTCTCTGTGCGACTTTCTCTCAAATTCTGCTGTGCGTCCATTTCACCAGGTCCCTTCTTCTCTTGCGCTCTTGTCAACTTCTTGTTTTTCTTGTTGAGACTCTTCATGAGCGAATCCTCCTCAGAAGACGATGTCGTGCCTGACCTAGGTATGTAATATTGTTGAATGAGGTTACCGATTGACGTTACACTTTGCAAAGTTACTTCAATGACGTTTACTGTATTATCATTATTATGAGAGCAGATCTTTATAATCTGATACAACCTATGTTCCCCTTCTTCATACATCTAAGCTGTACAGATAAATTTATATCTCTAATGAGCTTAGACAAACATTCTATATTGAAACATACGTTACATACCTGTTCTTACCTTTTCACCATTTAGATTACTATACTACTAAGAAACGAAAAGAAACCGAATGTACTTAATTGTAACTACTTGACGATGTATATATGTAACGTTATCTATATTCCATCCTTTTGTTGTGACCTGTACTTAACCCAGCGGGTATGTGTGTACAATAAAAGTCTTCATTCATTCATTATATGGCAAATGTAAATGACACAAGTTTTCTTTGACAGTAGTTAAAAGTGAATGTAAAAACTTAATAATGTTAGTAATGTTTGTATTCTATAATGTATGTAAGAGGACTCCAGGAAAAGTAGCGGTAAATTGTCACTAATTGGAGGTTCCTTAAACAAACAAATAAACAAACAAACAAACCGAGGTGTCCCTCCGATTTGAAACACTTCGTCTTCCTCTGCCAGATGAAACAACGGTTTGAACAGGCTCATGACGTCATCGTCGCCCTTCTCTGACCCCTGACCCGCCATCCACCAATCGTGGGGCTTGAAGCGGCGCCGTCTGAACATGCGCACTAGGACGAGGTAGAGGAGCATCACCATGGCAACGGTGACGAGAAACGTCAGAGATGACGCGTAGATGACGTTTATCATACAGTCGTTTGGCGAAGAGTTTCGCGCGTTATTTTGGATGGGTTCAGAGGCGTTGATGAAATTGGGTCTCATAGGAATAACAGGTGGTCTGAAAGCTTTAGTCTTAGAAGATGTCCTTTCCCGGTTCCTTAAATTGTCTTTAAGGACTTCAGGGGATAGTGGCGACTTTTTGTGCACAGCCGGTATGACATCAAGTCCAAGTTGATAGTCTTGTACCTTGTCCCTGTGTTTCATGTTGGAAGATTTTGACAGCAATCTATCCAAAAGAAAGTTTCGCTGTCTTGGTCCCGCAGCATGTGTGTTGCTAGGATGTGAAGATGGTCTTGTAGGCGCTTGGTATTTCCCAGTGCGACCAGTTACACCATGTTTGCTGTAGTCTCCGTACTCTTGTTGGTCGTCTTTTTCGGTGCTGTAGAATGGTGATGTTTCTGAAGGATAGTCCACATAGTCTGGCCACGTCTCTGTTCCTTCCCAGTATCTTTCAGGGATAAAACCAGTTGTAGGCAGAACTATAGGAATAGATGAAGCCAAGTAACATGTTTTGTTAAGTGGAAATAGAACTGAACACAGACAGTACAGTGATAACGCTGAATCACTTATCATTGCTCCTGTTTCAAAAGACAGTCTAACAAACTGGCTTCTACAGTACCTGTTGTAACTGGTCTTTCGAATACTAGTATAGGCTGGTATTATTTTGTAGACTAGCTTAGTGAAAACGTTGTAATGTATACGTATATACTACGTGTTGACTCAAAACAAATGTTTGTAACGGAAGAAAAGATGTCGACTTTGTATATGGTTCTAAAGTTCATCATTTAGCGGGGCAGTACAATAGGTCTGCGATAGACTGATACATTTGGTAAAGAATTGTTGACATCAAAACAAACACAAGTGACGTTAGCACTTCTCTAAAAAAAAGCAACGTAAAAGTCAGCAAAAACTTATCTCTGTGTCTTTGCCACTTGATCACTAGACGTATACGTACTTACCTAAAACTGCAAGCGTGCATAGTAGAGACACCGCCAGAGAAACAGGCATTTCTTGTTGTCCTGTTGTCCCTCAGCGTGCATTCTCAGCGTGCCGCCATTACCGTTACTGTCATCACAAGGGCACGTTCGATAGAACATCGTTCTGTGTTCTTGTTCGAATGTTCTGTGACGTATAATCTCGTTCCCAGCGCATTTTACATCTCATATATACCGAAAGGGTGCAGTTACTGAAATATTAAATCAAAGCCCTTTCGGAAAGGCACAGTTGAAGGAATTAAGAGAAGAAAGCCATTATGATTAAGATTCCCAAAGAAATTTCGCATTCAGAGCAAACTACTTTTTGTGAGTAACAAAGAGATATTGCACGTGACGCAAGGCCTAGGGGTCAACTAAGGTGAATCAACGTTAGCAGTTGCATCACAATCACGTCAATCATACAGTACATTACGGTGGCTAGACTAGTGCCTAGAGTAGAAATTGGCCAAATAGAGTGATAAAATGCCAGGGGAGTTAGTCCGCTGAAGACTTGTGGTGCGGCAAACTGTACTCTCTAGCCGGAACAACTCCTCTAGCATGTTATCTCTCTATTTGGCCAATTCTTACTCTAGGCACTAGGCTAGCCACTGTAGACTAGTCTGCCGAAGCCTGGTAGAGGCTATACAGTGGCCAATATTATCACCAAACACAGTACAGGTTAGTTGAACGTCATGTTGAAATTAAAACGCTGCCTCCTCAACTGTGTATCCACAAACAGTGACGGACGTCCCGGGGTCGTGTAAGGTCACCGAATGACGTCAAACTGTTATTGTTCTATTGTTCCAAACGGCGGCGACGCCCGGGTCGGTTGTCACCTGTTGAAAATAACGTTAAATCTTACCGGCGGGAACAAAGGAGGTTGTTGTATATCATTTCTCTGACTGTTAGAACCCTTGACAGAGCTTTCCGTGAATAGTTTCATCAGGTTGGTAAGTCACTGAGTAAAGAGACTCTTTCTACACAACCAAGTCTTTTATTCAGCCTTCGACGTTTTAACAGTGACCGTCTGTCACCTTCCTCAGGGCAACAACTGACCACAGTTTTTGTATATATTCAACTCCTGTACGTTTGGGACCGCATTGTAGATACAGTTCCCTGTAACCACGCATATGTGTAGATATGTAAACATTGTACGTTTGGGAATGCATCCATAGCAGTGACACCTGTGCTGCAGTGCAATGTGAACCAGTCAGAATTACCCTGAGGAAAGTGACAGACGGTAACCGAAACATCGGCTGAAGACTTGGTTAAGCCAAAAAGTAGTTACTCGAGCAACTGGATATGACTTTGGAAACGGTCAGAGGTTTCAGCTAGTATCCACTAGCTTTCGTCAGTGACTGAGAAGGCTTGGTTGTGCAGAAAGAGTCTCTTTACTCCTTGTCAGAGCTAGAAGGGCCCACTATGACTAGTGCAGAGATACGCGGGACGCTGTACGGCAAGGTGCGACGCTACCTGGCGACGACAAAGAAACAGGTGCGCTTCAACGTCAACCTGCTGGTGGATCATGAGGAGGATCTGATCAAGGTGAGATATGGGTAGCCTGGGTGCCATCCTCCGTAGTTTTCGCCCGCTCTCTAACGTCGCTGGTAGTACGGTGGTAGCCACCGACATTAGGGAGCGGGCGAAAACTACGGAGGATGGCAACCAGGATAAGATACATGCATGGGTAGGCAGGTGAGGAGATCTCACCTGACGATGTCTTATTAGTGTCGGCATTTCGATGCAGCAAAGGTTTTTATAACAGTATACGTATGGGGCCTACAACGTTGCTAAGCGTGTAAACTGTAAAGACATGCTCTCCAAGTAGAGGTTTGGGTTTTAGGGTTATTTTTAGGCTTTTCGTTGGGGGTTTCTTTTTGCACTGGATTTTTTTCAGCCAAAAATAAACCCAAAACCCTCACCTCTGCTTGGAGAGTAGTAAAGACACACATGTAAGAAACCAACGTCCATTTCAAAACCCAAAGTCGATTCGATACTTTTACAAGACCTTAGTTTTCAAATGACATACCAACAATAGTGACACTAGTTACAACAAACCAATGCTGCTACCGACTTGGTATTCAAACTGATCAAAATAGCGGGCATGTCAAGTTCGTTCGTTGCTATATATACCGTGACTAAAAGAAGACAGCTTTAAAAAGAACTGCTCAACTAAATGACGTGTCCCTATACGTATCAATACCTATGTGGCGATATACATAAAAGTGTCTTCCCAATTGTATCCTCCTTTATACTGCCACAGTTCAGTTGCCTGGTTATATATACATGTCGTGAGGACATTTCATAAAACACAAAGTAGTCGTCATCAAACACACACGAGATGAAAAATGTATTGTCCGCTCAGACATATCACAGACAATAACTGGTCGATTCACACGGCATATTACACTGCACGAAACGTAAGGTTTACCAATGGTAGTCATATCATAATAGTATTCGCCCGCTCTATAATGTCGCTAGCTACCACATGTTCAGTTGTAAGCTAGCGGGCGAATACTACTGGGGATGGCATCCAGGCTATAATAGTAGTACAGCCATAGAATTATAAATGGTCTTGATCAAGTGTGATGTTGATGACTGTAAATTGTGTTGTAAATTTCCAGACTTGACAATTATGGTAGTAATAAAATGAAATTAGTGGACTTGAATTTTATTTATTGTCATTGTAAAGTCCAGTACTGTTTGCAAAGTAAAAATTACTCGCACTTAACGGGTATTTTACTACCATTGGCAAATTTAACTTCTCGTTCAGTGTTACTAATAATGACCATCAGATTGTAGGCAAACAGGTTGACATACATTCCATTCCATTTCACAACCAATGTTAAAAGTGTCCAATGCAATTTTGGGGCTGGACCCTACCAGTAACCGTTTATTCCGCCACAATTTTCTTCATTTTTACTCCATGAATATCGACATGCATTGGGATAGCGTTGTTTCAACTTAGTATGTATATAAATGACTAGAATATTGACTTTGAAAAATCTGTTTTTCAAGCTCTAAAAACTGCGTTGGGCACCTTAAATGGCATTTCCTTCCTAATGGTTTTCCTTAATCCAATGTAACATAATCTCATTCGAGTTGTCAAGAGCAGGAACCAAACTATTACGCGGTGGGGGGTGGAGGGTTTGTAGTAAAAAAAGATTAATCTGCAATCCTATCCGTGGTGTATTCATGTTAAACTGAGTTATCTATATTGTGTATAGCGTAGTTTGTATACCAAAAGCTCCCTTGGAGGGCAGATAGTGACTGGATGTAATTAGGGCTTTGTGTAATCGCGTTGACCTTTTCAGTCCGGAGTAATAATATATACCCCTGGGGTGCCTCATGTGATTAGGATGAAGAGAAGTTGATAACCATATTAGCCTGGCTAACGCCATGTAACGTTACATTACAAGGCAACCAGCGATGGCAGACTTCAAGAAAGTACACAGACATACAGACAGACACAGACACACGGGCACACATACATGCAAACACGTACACACACATCACGACATAGATGTAACCTCTTGGAAACGTTTCATATTTGTGGAAAGGTGGTTTTGTCTGTTCGGTGGTTCCATCCCCATGTAAAAAAAAGGACTTGAAGTAGCGCGTTGTAGAGGGTTTTCTGTAAATGACCTCGAGTAACCCCGGATGGAACCGTTCGGTTCGAATTATGTCACATCGAACAAGATTCTCGGGTTCGGGGATTCGATCTCCATAGTAGCAGAGTGTGACCATCGTGTGCGCCCTCTCTGTCCTCCCATAGGAACTGCAGCTGTGGATGATTCAGCAGTGCGATCCTAACGACTTCCGGCCGGCGGAGTCCGAGGTGTGGTTAGAACGGTACGACGGGCAACATCAGCACCCTACGGAACAGATGGGAGAAGGTGAAGCATATACAATCACTTGGTGTGTGTGTGCGTGTGTGTGTGTGTGTGTGTGTGTGTGTGTGCGTGTGTGCATGCATACGTGTACATGCATACATTTGTCGGGGAAAGGCTATGTGTGGATGGTGTTCAGCACCAAGGACAGACATGTTTGTGCGTTTGTGGTTGTGTGTGTGGATAGTGTTCAGCACCAAGGACAGGCATGTTTGAATATGTGTGGATAGTGTTCAGTACCGAGGACAGGCATGTTTGTGTGTGGATGGTGTTCAGCACCAAGGGCAGGTATGTTTGTGTGGTTGTGTGTGTGTGCATACATTTGTCGGGGAAAGGCTAAAAACACATAAACTTTTATGATCTATGTTAAACCTTTTGTGCAATGCATACACCGTACTCAATATCCTGATGTCTTTCAGGAGAGTTCTGGGACTTCGTCTACTCGGATAGATGGGACGACTACAGTTCACTTAGAATTTGCGAGGGGGCGCTTCTCCAGCGACTGATGGAGGTGTTCTACGGCCTCAAGCGCCAGGGAAAACTGCACGAATTTGAGACGGAAATCGTGGAAGCCAAAACAAAGGCAGGTTGCTATAATACGAAGACCCACAACGACACTTCCATACACCTCTTCCACAGCCCTTCTACACCGCGCTGTCGCAGCGCGCTGTGGAAGAGGTGTATGGAAGTGTCGTTGTGGGCCTTCGTACTATAAGAGCAATTCGCGCTGGCCATCACTTGGTAATTATGTTTATCTTTGCAGAAGGAAACATATTGTTTTTGCTCAGTTGATGTTATGCCATATACCTGGGTCGCAATAATGTTTGTTTGATACGGGTGTTCCGGCCCGTGTGATAACTAGCGTTACAGCTCGGGGTTCTATTTGGTTATCACACGGGCTTCAAAATGTTCCATACATAGAGTAATTCGAACGCGTTTCGCTTGAGCCGCATGTGCCGTAATCGAAAATTCGAATACCGGATTCTGATGTTGGCATTGATGTTGTTGCACTTTTTTGTTTCGGCTAGGGCGACCAAATTTTGGCTCATTTAGCATGGAAAGGCGTATTTTCTCGAATAGGTATGACATAAATAAAATACCGTCGGGCGATCCGATCCGCGGTCGAACTGGGATCGAGGGTTATATCAAAGAATTGTTGTATTTCATTGTCATGGGTTTCATGCTGTTTTTTTAAGTGTCTGGTTTTACTTGCATTCTGTAGGGCCATACAAAACACGACATGCGGCTGGCCTTTATCTACTACGGGCTGTCTTCACAGACCCCAAAAGATGAGCAACCAACAACAATTTCTCCCAAGACGTCCCCACACCTAGCCATGTTCAGAAGCGACCCTGTGCTGGTGGAACGTTCGGTGGAAAACCTGGTGTCCTTCCTCTCGAAAAGATCCATGTCGTGGCCTTCGGACTTAGCCACAGCCGCGACCACCGCATCTAGCAACCTACAGAACCAGTCTCGGTCACTGACTCTGGTCACAGGCGATAGTACCGTTAATACAAGACTAAGAAAGTCGCCGCTTGACTCCTCAACATGTGAGATTTTTAACGAATCCGGAAGACAAACTGCCGACAGCTACGCCTCGACTCAACTCGGAGACTCCGCCAACTACTCATACACGTCATCCCCTACTCCCGACGTCTTCAGTTTCGGTACATCGTCTACTACTAACGTTAATACATCCTCGTCGGAGAAAGAGTTGGAGTTTTGTACGCGAAGCTCGAAGGGGAAGTTTGTCTGCTTTGATGTAGAGGCTCTCGCTAAGCCGGAATCTGGTACAGACTTCGTCCCGCCAAGGGCAGTTTCGCCCCACCCTTCCAAGAGCGGCTCTAAAAGCGGACAGTCTGACAAGGAACCCTCCTGCTACCCGAGGCTTCCGCCAACCTTCGGGACGCCGAGAAAGGACAGGCCGTCTTCCCTTACCGCGCTGCAGAGTTCAGACGACAAGGATAAAGTTGTAGAGAAATCGCCCCCAAAAGGTAAGGACGAACAGGTGTAAGTCACAAAGGACACATGTACGAAAAATCTTCCAGCCTCTACCAGGCTTCGGGAGGCGGCTGAAAGAGTAGAAATCGGCCAAATAGAGAGATAACATGCCAGGGGAGTTGGTCTGCTGGAGAGAACAGTTTGCCTCTCCCGAACATTGTTACAACATAGTCATATTTCGTTTTGAATAGCATTTATCTTATTCTATTTGTATTGACATAAACGGAAGTACAAAGTTGTAACCGTGTTAAACTTTAGGTCTGGCAATTTATAAAGGAAAATTGTTGCTTTGCAAGGGTACTAGTCACAAGAAGCAAAGCCATAATTAGCTCTCTCCATATTTGTACAATTACACGTCAAAGCCACATGTTCACATAGATCCACAACTCTTAACCATGTTGTCTGTTTTACAGCAAAGGTTCTGGACATAGTAACCCGCTTAAAGGAAGCCCAGCGCCTTAAGAAAACCCGACGCCAGGCCGTGTCCGCCGAAGACAGCGAATCCAGTGTGCAGATTGCGACCCCAGAAGACGACCTAGCCGCACCTAGGTCCATCCTCCGCCAAAATGACAACACCAACTATTTCTCTGAGAACTCAAACTCCCAAGTGTCCGACTCAACCGGGGACAAGACGCCTCCTTTCTACGCTCTCAACCGTACCTACAGTTTCGACAAGCTCATAGAACGAAGAAAACTCGGTACAACAGAAGAGGAGGAAGAATCTGTTCTAGACGAAGACGAGCGGAAACTACCTGATCTAAGCGTCCTTCTGGGTCACTATGCCCTCAGCAGACGGCGACACTTCGCTACAGACACCAAGACGGCTGCGAGCGCGCGCCAAGACTTCTTCCCAAGAGTTAAGGAGGAAGATTTCGTGGAGGGTTGCCTGAAGGCACTGGAAGAGTTTGTGGTACGGAAGGAGCAGGCGGTGGTGCATGTCGGGAGGACTGTGGTCAGAGTTATCACGACAGTTACTATCAACAAAGTGCCGCTCCTCAAACGGTCCTAGCAAAGATCAAGAAAACTAGATCACTCTTTAAAAAAAATAAAGAAAAAAATCTTAGTCTAGGACTGCATTCCTTCTTTGCCATTAAGACACTCTGATATAAATTTCACATGAAGCAAAGTTGCAAATAGCTGTCAATGACTGCCAACACTTTAATTATGACATAAGCTGCAACACATTGCCATTGGGAGAGCATGTACACATTCAAGACAGCTATGGCATTAAACACAGACTTGAGTACATATATTTTGCTCCTGCTGAAAAATAAATTTTCCTAGACCTCTATTTATCAAAACACTTTCTATCCAAAGATATACATTATTTGACATAAACTATGCACAGTTTTTTTAGAATTCACAATTTGGACATACATGTAACGTTACCTTCTTTCCTATAGCCAGATTTCTTTGCAGCAAAAATGCAGAACACTTTGATAACAGGCAATGTCCTTATTCGCCTAGAATTATTGCTTAGCTAGGAGAAAACAGTTGTGCAGTTATATACATCATTGTTCCAGAGTAATAAGTAAAAATTTCCCCATCAGAAAATATACTTGTGGGAACAGCTGCCATATTAGTCTTAATCTGCCAAAAACGGGCAATCGCTGAAATAATTCATGATAAGGTAGTCCCTCTAGCTATATGCTTTCAATCTTCAAATAGGCAGATTGCAAGCCTTAACTTCTACCACAAAGAACACATTAGGGCACATGCAGTAGGGGTATTGTACAACCTCTGCAGAGCTTTGTGACTTCTTTGTACAGTCAAATATTCTGTGTTAGCTTTTGGTCTCATACCGTCCGCTTATCCATTGTTTTAGCACAAATTTCAATCTTTGCCCTCTCCAAGATGTATAAAGGGGCAAAAGCATGATAATAGTAAGTACATGTGTGCTATCTTGAGAAGTTTACACTCTTTGTGTGTTCTTCAGTTTTGACTTATCACTGAGCAGCCCTCTGGCAACTCATGGCTCTATATCGTTTATTTTTTTTTGCATCCTCTGGAGGTTTAACCTCCCATGGTATGGAGGATGTTACTAGCAGATTAACCAGAGCCAGAAAATCTGCCAAAATCACAGCACAGAAGCCTTGGGCTTTCAATCAGTCCAGCTCATGGATTCTATGAATGATGCCAAGGATGTTACTGTGAGAACAAGCTTGGCCAAGAAACTCATGGAAGATATGCTGCCTTTGCAAAAACTTTGCAGTGTCTGAGTTTTTACAGAGGACTTGCACAATTCACAGCTTTCCATCAGTTCAACTCATCTGCATCTTCTGGAGCCAAAGATGTTACTTGTGGCACAAGATAGATTCAGTACATTTGAGCAAACTATACTGTCTGCAAAATTTGCAGTCTCTGAAAGCTATAGCAGAAGGAATTCATGATTTTGCCTCATCAGTCCAGTTCATCCGCATCCTCAGGCGGTTTAACCCCCATGGACCCGAGGATGTTTGTGGCAGGTCCGGCCAGACCCTGCTGGGAGCTGTACGACTCCAGAAGGTTCTTCACCAAGTTCAAGTCAACATTCACAGGCGTGACATCATCATCATCATCATCATCATCATCGTCACCTGCCTGGTCTCCATGATGTTTACTGCTGTTGGTGCTGTCCATGGGGAGGTCTTTTGGAGGAGTGGGTTTTGCCTGCAGAAAATGGAAAATTTAATGATTTCTGTTACAGCCACAGGAAAGCTAGTAAGATGCCTGATGTTTATTCCTTTTTGCTTTCTGATATGGAAATGTATGATAACGATGTGTACCAACAAAAGATAGAAATCATAAAACAAAAGTAGCTGGAACCCTTTAATCGTTGAGTGTTTACTACTTTTTTTACAAGTAACCAATGAGTATCATGTTTGATGATGAATACAAATATTATGTAACATGTATTCTCATTGGGACAAATTTGTGACAAAACTCAAAATCAATGCTTGGTGATTGTTATAAAACAGAAAACAAACAAACTACACCCAAATGTAATCCCTAACAAACACAGTTACCTGTTTAGGTTCCTTTTCGAAGCTCTTCCCGACGTGAGTTGTGGCCAGCTCTTGGTCCATCTGGTCCATGTAGTCTGTCATGGCAGCGTCCTCTGTACCGGCTGCACCGATCTCATACTCCCCTTCATCTGAGTAAGAAAACAAGCTTAATATGAATATATACAAAACATTTATTTTCAACACCATTGCAAACATAGCAGCCAGAATGGCTGACTTGTGTTGTGGCATGACAACCATTCAGTAAGATACATATTCACATGTAAAATACATCATGGCCTACAATTCCTGTCTTGGCTGATGGATTCAAATGAGTACTAGCCTCTACTAGGCTCCAGAAGCAGCTGGAAAGGGTAGAAATTGGCCAAAAAATAGACATTGTAACATGTGGGGGGGGGGGCACTGAATCATAGTAAATGAGTACAGTTTTGAGTGATCTTCATCTTCCATTTTTACATGTACTTGTTGAGATTTCTACAAGCCTTACAGTTTCTTCATAGATTGTTCAATACAGATGTAGATAATATAAAAATTCAATGTCCCACTACCTTCCGACTCCTCGGAGCTGTCAGACTCAGACTCCATCAGACCATCATCATCATCATCATCATCCTCATCTATCCTCCCATTGGTCAAGCCTGGAAATAAAGCAATTTACATTTCTCAGTATTGATAGAGGAAGGTAATTACTAGGTAGGGATATAGGACCAGTCTAGTACATCACAGAAGTCTTTCTTCCCCATTTTTTTTTTTAATTTGAATCTATTATTGGCTTACAATGGCTTTCTGGTGACTTACCGAGTATTCTCTCCATGGCTTGACTGAAGGAGTCCACATCAAAGTCCACAGGCTGGTCTTCATCCATTCTGAAAACAACCAACGGTTCAATAAGTGGCATTTTTCTATTGCTTAATCCTTGTTTGACAAGACCTGAAAGAAGCTGATATTACCCCTAAGGACAGTTATACCGGCTATACAGATACAGATACAGAAGAAACTGTCATCATGAAAGTTCATCTGTGTTGGTTAGTTACATGACGTTTAGAGTTAGAACTTTGATCCAAACACAAAATACTTTTGATTCCACACTGAACCATGACGGGGCCACATCGTCTACCAGATACC